AACTGTGTAAGTGCTAAGTCCGGTCCAGTAAGTGTGACTGCTGGCTATTCTAGTATCTACTAACACTGCAATGTCAGGTCCTTTTCTCATCCACTTAGTACTCGCTCCAGATGGTTCTGTTGCCTAAGCCGTTGACGTTTAAGCTTGCGATGGTGAGGTGGTTTTTATTAATCATTGGATCAATGCCTTGCAGCCCCTTGTCATCCAGAGGCTGTAAAACGATACTATACATGTGAATCTAACTCTAAGACTCCAGCAGGTAACGATCGAGATCTGTCACATCCTGTACTCCTGAATGCACACCTCGTTAGCTATGAAGTAAAGTCGAAGTGTACACTGAATGCACATTCCGAATCCTTCCCGTAAAACACCCGAGGCAATAAGTCAACCAACATTTCCACAATTTCAAAACCACTTCTGTTAAAAATACTGACCGTTGACTCCATGAACCAGGGCTCTCGTTATCAGACAAAATTGGTATGATTTTCTGATTTTCAAACCTTGATTTTGGGTTTCATCTGATTTTCAAGACGAGGATTTTTACTTCGTCTGATCCGTAAGATTACGAATTTTAGTTCATCCGATTTTTCAGAGCAAGCCTTATACTTAGTCTGAAATTTCAGATAGCGGGTTGCAATTCGTCTGATACCGAACTCCCTCCCCCCCCCCCCCGATCCCTCGCTTCTCTAAAGCTCAGCCCCCCTTTAGATGCCCTCGCTCCTCTTCCAGGCCTAGTCCAGACCTTCTCCCCCTCCCCCCCTGGTCCACTCCCCATGCCCCTCGTGAAGTCTCGCAACAGCCCAGCCCCCCCCTTCCTTCTCGCGTCCCTCCACCCAACCTGATCCCTCGCAGCACCTCAATGCCACGTGCACTCAACAGCCACACGCCTGTCAGCTAGCGAGCTGTCAGCGCCGCGCCAGGGGCGCGTTCATTAACAAGAACAAGTGTGATTATGCTAGACAAGGGTGTTAGCTGAATCAGACTATGCAAATTTAATAGTCTGGAAAATCAGACTAACCTCCAGCATTCGTCTGGAAAATCAGACCAGAAAAATATGCCGGTCTGATCGTCAGACGGAATGATTTTTTACTTCGGTGTTTTCAGACAGGCCCAAATCCTAGCAAGAGCCTTGCCATGAACTGGCTTAGTGGTTAGCGAAGTAGATACTGAATGGTAAGGTTTCCAGTTTGAATCCCTCTACTACCATGTTCGTTAAGGCTACTCTAGCACAATTGCATGATGTGATTGAAAATTCAGGCTTTTGTTTTCCGGAACCCTGAAAATTCAGGCTTTTTTTTTAGGAACCAGGCCCTCAGATTGGTTTGAGGGTATGCTGATGGATCAGTGTGCCCCGGCCAACGAGGTGTCCAAATCAGCGTTCACGGTTTTTTTTATACTGATTTTGCCAGTGTAAGAATCATAAGTAAACTGAACCAACAGTGTAATAACAAAAAACTATAGCTGAAACCCCAGTACAAGGTGTGTGGTGTTGTTGCTGTGATACCGTAGGTTCCAGCGAGGCTAAACACTTCGGCGCGCACCTGATACGGTATCTGTGCAGTGCATGCGAAAAAATGCCAAGTGTGTGGGTGGGGTCTCAGGAATCACGGGAAGGTACAGACTGTACATGCGCACCCTATCAACCCCCCCCCCCCCCCCCCCCCCACACACACGCGGTCAACTCCGTTTCAGTGTGACTCACGTCACTATACTGATTCGTCAATGTTTCTTGTAAAGAAACACGCAAAATGGTCAGTGTGACAAGGTAGGATATACTGAAATTTCAGTGCAAAATTGAAGCATATGCTGAATTTTCAGGGAAAACGAAAATCACAGCTACAAAATCAGCGTAATCAGCGTGTTTTACGCTGATATCCGAGGGCCTGTTAGGAACCCTGAAAATTCAGGTTTTTTTTCACAGGGACCCTGATGCATCAACGTTCCTAAAAGTGAATCTGAGGGCCTGCCAATCACCCCAACAAACATCATATGATTAAACAAAAAAAAAAAGCTGGACCAAGCTGTGAAGCACTCTTCAAGCTTTCCAACAAGCAAGCAAGCAAGAACGCATATTATGCTTAGAATTGGTTGAAAAATGTTGAAAAGTAGAAACACAGAGCTTGTCTGATGCACTAGGCAGGTTAAAAACCTAGGGAGAGCCCTGGTATCCTGTTTTATGAGCCAGCGGATCATTAGCAGGACGAGAGCGTTGACCCTTAGGCGAAACCGAGACATCAGCAGGGTTCGACATTGTACGATGATGAGAAGCAGGCGAAGAAACAATGTGTAGAGCATGCTTGATGACTGAGAAAAGGTGGAGAGCCTGATGACTGAGCATTGCTTTAAGTAGTAATAGGAGCTTGTCAGACTCCAATACTTCCTGCTGTTGATGTTGTATTCCCGAGGTTGCAACATCGAAACCATCGTCCTTAATAACCGTTGAAATAGGAGTGTAGCGCTTGAAAGTAGTAAAAATAGCCGCTGGACTTGGATCATGACTGAAAAGCGATCCTGGGAATCCCTTACAAACGCTGAGCCTTGTCGCCTTATAACCGGAGTAACCTAGGCCAGCATAAATGGCCGGTAATCCAATGTTAGTGTTAAAAGCGATACGTGAAACGGAAACAGACATTTGCATTGAGCATTGTAGCGAGGTTGTTGACTGAGTCGAGCTCGGAGAAATCCATGGCTGCCAGATGGCGGAGAGCTCGGAGAACTTCATTATCGAAGGAGGAGTGAATCCCGTTTACACAAGCAGTAGTACAAGAAAAAATGTGAGAAAATAATAACAGAACTAGCAAACACACCAAACAACCATGATGACCAATCACCAGGCCCTACGATATCAGGAATTTTCCCCTAAAATTCCTGATTTTTCAGCTTAGTTTTGTGTACCTACACTGAATTTTCAGTGTTGAGATTTTTGTGACACTGATTTTTTCAGCCTTTACTTCATAGCTAACACTGATGTTTCAGACTTTTATCGAAGTGTACACTGAGTGCACATTCTGAATCCTTCCCGTAAAACACCCGAGGCAATAAGTCAACCAACATTTCCACAATTTCAAAACCACTTCTGTTAAAAATACTGACCGTTGACTCCATGAACCAGGGCTCTCGTTATCAGACAAAATTGGTATGATTTTCTGATTTTCAAACCTTGATTTTGGGTTTCATCTGATTTTCAAGACGAGGATTTTTACTTCATCTGATCCGTAAGATTACGAATTTTAGTTCATCCGATTTTTCAGAGCAAGCCTTATACTTAGTCTGAAATTTCAGATAGCGGGTTGCAATTCGTCTCATACCGAACTCCCTCCCCCCCCCCCCCCCCCGATCCCTCGCTTCTCTAAAGCTCAGCCCCCCTTTAGATGCCCTCGCTCCTCTTCCAGGCCTAGTCCAGACCTTCTCCCCCTCCCCCCCTGGTCCACTCCCCATGCCCCTCGTGAAGTCTCGCAACAGCCCAGCCCCCCCCTTCCTTCTCGCGTCCCTCCACCCAACCTGATCCCTCGCAGCACCTCAATGCCACGTGCATGCCCCTCAACAGCCACACGCCTGTCAGCTAGCGAGCTGTCAGCGCCGCGCCAGGGGCGCGTTCATTAACAAGAACAAGTGTGATTATGCTAGACAAGGGTGTTAGCTGAATCAGACTATGCAAATTTAATAGTCTGGAAAATCAAACTAACCTCCAGCATTCGTCTGGAAAATCAGACCAGAAAAATATGCCGGTCTGATCGTCAGACGGAATGATTTTTTACTTCGGTGTTTTCAGACAGGCCCAAATCCTAGCAAGAGCCCTGCCATGAACTGGCTAAGTGGTTAGCGAAGTAGATACTGAATGGTAAGGTTTCCAGTTTGAATCCCTCTACTACCATGTTCGTTAAGGCTACTCTAGCACAATTGCATGATGTGATTGAAAATTCAGGCTTTTGTTTTTCGGAACCCTGAAAATTCAGGCTTTTTTTTTAGGAACCAGGCCCTCAGATTGGTTTGAGGGTATGCTGATGGATCAGTGTGCCCCGGCCAACGAGGTGTCCAAATCAGCGTTCACGGTTTTTTTTATACTGATTTTGCCAGTGTAAGAATCATAAGTAAACTGAACCAACAGTGTAATAACAAAAAACTATAGCTGAAACCCCAGTACAAGGTGTGTGGTGTTGTTGCTGTGATACCGTAGGTTCCAGCGAGGCTAAACACTTCGGCGCGCACCTGATACGGTATCTGTGCAGTGCATGCGAAAAAATGCCAAGTGTGTGGGTGGGGTCTCAGGAATCACGGGAAGGTACAGACTGTACATGCGCACCCTATCAACCCCCCCCCCCCCCCCCCCCCCCCCCCACACACGCGGTCAACTCCGTTTCAGTGTGACTCACGTCACTATACTGATTCGTCAATGTTTCTTGTAAAGAAACACGCAAAATGGTCAGTGTGACAAGGTAGGATATACTGAAATTTCAGTGCAAAATTGAAGCATATGCTGAATTTTCAGGGAAAACGAAAATCACAGCTACAAAATCAGCGTAATCAGCGTGTTTTACGCTGATATCCGAGGGCCTGTTAGGAACCCTGAAAATTCAGGTTTTTTTTCACAGGGACCCTGATGCATCAACGTTCCTAAAAGTGAATCTGAGGGCCTGCCAATCACCCCAACAAACATCATACGGTATGATTAAACAAAAAAAAAAGCTGGACCAAGCTGTGAAGCACTCTTCAAGCTTTCCAACAAGCAAGCAAGCAAGAACGCATATTATGCTTAGAATTGGTTGAAAAATGTTGAAAAGTAGAAACACAGAGCTTGTCTGATGCACTAGGCAGGTTAAAAACCTAGGGAGAGCCCTGGTATCCTGTTTTATGAGCCCCCTGAAACTTCACAAACGCACCTACACCCCATTATTCCTACAGTAATGCAAACGTGAGTGAGTGTATGGAATAGTCTCAAGTGATGTGCATGACGGGGCAGATACTGTTGTGATAAGCCAGCATGAGAGCAGCAGGCAGGGTCAGAAGATGCTGGCGAAGTCGCTGCCCTCCCAGCCCAGGCGTAGCATGTGATCCACCATCTTCACACTCAGCTGCACGGGGACGAGGGGGGAGAGTGGGCAAGGCAAAAGGTGCAATTGGGGGGAAAGAGAATGGGAGTGAGGTGGGGAGATGGGGGGGGGGGGGGGGTTAGTGGAAACGGGAGTAAGGGGTGAACAACCACAACTGTTGAGCTTGTACTGGTACCAAGGAAGCTGTTGTCAGTGTTGATGTGTAAGAGGCCACTGCAGAGTAGCTGCTACAGGCGTACCAGGGGGTTGCTGCAGCTGCTAGAGGCGTACCAGGGGGTTGCTGCAGCTGCTAGAGGCGTACCACGGGGTTGCTGCAGCTGCTAGAGGCGTACCAGGGGGTTGCTGCAGCTGCTAGAGGCGTACCACGGGGTTGCTGCAGCTGCTAGAGGCGTACCAGGGGGTTGCTGCAGCTGCTAGAGGCGTACCAGGGGGTTGCTGCAGCTGCTAGAGGCGTACCAGGGGGTTGCTGCAGCTGCTAGAGGCGTACCAGGGAGTTGCTGCAGCTGCTAGAGGCGTACCAGGGGGTTGCTGCAGCTGCTAGAGGCGTACCAGGGGGTTGCTGCAGCTGCTAGAGGCGTACCAGGGGGTTGCTGCAGCTGCTAGAGGCGTACCAGGGGGTTGCTGCAGCTGCTAGAGGCGTACCAGGGGGTTGCTGCAGCTGCTAGAGGCGTACCAGGGGGTTGCTGCAGCTGCTAGAGGCGTACCAGGGAGTTGCTGCAGCTGCTAGAGGCGTACCAGGGGGTTGCTGCAGCTGCTAGAGGCGTACCAGGGGGTTGCTGCAGCTGCTAGAGGCGTACCAGGGGGTTGCTGCAGCTGCTACAGGCGTACCAGGGGGTTGCTGCAGCTGCTACAGGCGTACCAGGGGGTTGCTGCAGCTGCTACAGGCGTACCAGGGGGTTGCTGCAGCTGCTACAGGCGTACCAGGGGGTTGCTGCAGCTGCTACAGGCGTACCAGGGGGTTGCTGTAGAGGATGAGCTGGCCGGGGGCGAGGTGAGCGGAGGTGGAGCAGAGCAGGTTGGTGTTGTCCGCTGACAGTGCCAGCGCTGTCACGTCTGTGCCCTCCGGCAGCTTGAAGCGACACAGCGCCTGCCAGCATGGCGCATGGCACACGCACGAGAGGGATTGGGGAATGGGGGCAATGTTAAGCAAAGATGCTTGTAAGAGGATGGGGCATACAGTATAGAGTAGATGTTTAAGAGGGCTTGTTAGGGGGATGGGAGAGAGTAGAGGCGGGCATGGGCGAGAGGAATTGAAATGCAGCTGGAGAAGGATGGGATGAAGCGGCATGGCTGCACCCGCAGCTTAAGGAGGAGCTCAGATGCACCTTGAGGGAGAAGAGGTCAAGAAGTGACACCGCTGATCCGCGCTCCTTCCGTGACCCCCCTTCGTCCGTGTTCCTCCAGTCCGGCAGTGCACCACCCCCCCCTGCTGCCGCCCCTCCACCCTCTCCCTCAACCTCCCTGCCCTCCCTCCTCTCGCCCTCTCCCTCCCTCCTCTCCTTGCCTGAATTCCCCCCCTCGCCTTCCTCCCCTCCTCTTTCCCCCTCATCCCGCTGCCCACGGCCCGTCCCCCCGTTCTCCCCTTCCAACGCCCCTCCTCCCTCGCCCTTCTCACCGCCACCATCCGTCCCCCGCCCCTCAGCCTCTGTGAAGCTCCCAGCCTTCCCCAGCCCCACCTTCTCCCCGGCAATCACAGCAGCGCGCTCCCTCTCCTTCTGCCGTTCCTTCTCCCGCACATGCCGCCAGCGGCTGCAGTCCGTGCCCACAGCCACAAACAGCCCGTTGCTCGACACCTGCACGCTGCTCACATCGCCATCCTCCTCCGAGATGCTCACCCCCGCCACCGCCGCTCCGTTGATCGTGAACGCCCGCAGCGCGCGCTGCCGCCGCTCCCACACCACCACCACCCCTTCAGGGGAGATGGCCAGCAGGTCCGCCGGCCCCACCCCCGGCAGGTGGCGCAGGAAGCGGCCCTTCATGAGGGAATGGAGGAGCACACCGCGGGAGCGCGAGGAGGAGGCAACGAGGTCGAGGTCCGAGGACACGGCGCAGCACAGGATGGTGTCCAAGTGGCCGCGCAGCACCTGCACGGGGCCTTCCATGCGCCGCCACTTCCTCGGCGCCTGCAGCCCCCCCGCCCCGCCCATGCCCCCGCCTGCGCTCAGCAGCAGTGCCGCCTCCGACATGCCACCCCCGCCTCCCCGCTCGGGGTAATCCGCTCCTCCCACTGCCATGCTGCCTGCTCGTTCCTCGCTAGCCGACACCGCTGCAGCGGCAGCAGCCAGAGCAGGGTCGTGCGGGCCCGTGGGTGCTGCAGTGCTGCGCCTTGCCACACGCCCCCCCGCCCCCGCCCCAGCAGCCACGAGGCCAGCCGTGACCCCGGCGGCAGGGGAGGAAGGGAAGGGCGCGGTGGCGTGGTTGACTTGCCACAGCAGCACCACCCCGTCCGTGGCGCCGGTGGCGAGAGTGGCGCCATCAGGGGAGAGAGCCACGCACGTCACGGGGCCGCCATGCACAGCAGCCGTCTCCAGCACGCGAGTCGAGTCCACTGACACCAGCTTCACAGAGAAATCCGCGTGCCCGCCTGTGAACAGAAACTTGCCGTCCGGGGAGATGGCTATCATTTCCTTTCCCCCACCGCACCCTCCTTCCCCTCCCCCCCCCACCGCGCCTGCTGCTGTTGACGTGTGCTTTATCCCCGGAGCAGGGAGGGCCACGAGGCGCGGATAGAGGGATGTCTCGCTGTTGCTGCCCTTGCCGCCCAGCGCTGCCCCCGTCAGCATCCGCAGAATGGCACTACCTGTCAGCGAAGACCGCCCGGGCTGGAACAAAAACGGCCAGCCGTGGCCGTCCGGGGTGTTGGGCTGCCACTGGTGCACCGCCACGTGGCAAGCAGGAGCATTGAGATCAACGGTGACGATGGCATCTGAGGTGGCGACGATGCGGCTGGCGGGGACATTGAGGGTGTCGGGGTGTGGCAGCACGTAGGGCAGGATCTCATCGGGCTTGCGGAACACCGTGTGCAGGTGCAGCGCGTAGTCCAGTGCGATGCGCGGTGGGTGCGCTGTCGTCAGCAGCTGTGACGGCGTCTGGCCGAAGTAGGAAATCTGATCCTGCATGCCCCTCCTCACGATCTGGAGGGAGGGTGGTGGGAGCAAGGAGATGACGGGAGGTGAGGGAGGCTGGAAAAGAATCGTGCATGGTTGAGCAAGAGCGTGCTTGCCAAGGGCAGAGGAGAAGGAAAAGCTGCCAGGTGGTAGCATGCTTGCATGGCAAGGTGCTGAGTGGGCGAGTGCAAGACAGTTGGTCAATGGCTCGTGGGGACGTGATGGCTTGGACGTAAGATGATGGTGGGTGGGCAGAGGGGGAGAGAGCGCTAGCGAGGAGAGGAGGCTGACAGGGTTGGTGATGGAGTCGATGTCAACAGCGCCCTCGTACGTGACGTAGAAGAACACGTTGTGCGCCGCCAGGGCCTCCTTGCCCTTCTGCTTGTACCTGCCATGTGGGTGAGCACATGCAGGAGGGGCAACCCACAGGGCAACAGGATGTGAGCACATGCAGGAGGGGCAACCCACAGGGCAACAGGATGTGAGCACATGCAGGAGGGGCAACCCACAGGGCAACAGGATGTGAGCACATGCAGGAGGGGCAACCCACAGGGCAACAGGATGTGAGCACATGCAGGAGGGGCAACCCACAGGGCAACAGGATGTGAGCACATGCAGGAGGGGCAACCCACAGGGCAACAGGATGTGAGCACATGCAGGAGGGGCAACCCACAGGGCAACAGGATGTGAGCACATGCAGGAGGGGCAACCCACAGGGCAACAGGATGTGAGCAGGGAAGAAAGGAGTAACCCGCATGAGAGGCATGACCCGCTTGTGGAGGGGCGAGCAACATGTGCTGAACATGAAAGGCAGGGGAGACTTGAAGAGGTGGATCGAACGGTGCACTTACCCGAAGATGAGGTCGATCCAATTGTGCAGGTTGCTGCTGACATACTCGCTCTCCAGTGCCGCCCGCTGCTTGCGCACAAAATCCGCCGCACTGCTCGCCCATGGCGGCAGCTTCACGTCCCCTGGTGGGGTGCAGTGCGGCAAAATGGTGGCAGGGGGGGGAGGAGGTGGGTGGGGGAGGGGGACACGGGAGGTGACGGAAGGTTGGGGTGCGAGGGGAGGGTAGAGGGAGGTGGTGTGGAAACAACAGAAGAAACCAACCCCCACCGAAAAAAAAGAGAAAAAAGAAGAAGAGGGAGGTGTGAAGGGAGATGAGAGGTGAGCAGGTGGGTGGATGGGATGGGAGCTCACCGATGACCTCGCCCTTCTGCGTGGAGCCGAGGTGCAGCCCGTTGATGTTGGTGAACATCTCCGGTAGACAGAACCACTCCGGGATCTGCCCTCACCGCGCCACGGCGCACAGAGGGGAGGGAGTCAGTGGGAGTTGGGATGAGGTGATGCTTGCTGGCATCCCACATCGCAACGATACAACAGATAGTGGGTCGCGAGCACCACACACACACACACGCAAGATGACTAGGATGCCCTGCTACAGGCAGCCGTGCTACAGGCAGCCGTGGTACAGGCAGCCGTGGTACAGGCAGCCGTGGTACATGCCCCTATGTTACCCACCCCCTGCTCTCACCAGCTCCTTGACATGCCTCACCAGCTCCTTGACATGCCTCACCAGCTCCTTGACATCGCTCATGTCGGAGGTGACTCCCCGCCACGTGGCAGCCACGTCCAGGAACAGGCGGTCGGGGTGGTCAAACTGCCCGCCCTGCAGGGCCAGGGCGAGAGACGTATAGGGCTCCACTCGCAGCAGATAGTGCGCCACCTGAATGCCGCCTCCGGACAGACCAACGGGGGGTTGTGGGGCGGGAAGGGGAAAGAGGAACGGGGGGTTGTGGGGCGGGAAGGGGAAAGAGGAACGGGGGGTTGTGGGGCGGGAAAGAGGAACGGGGGGTTGTGGGGCGGGAAAGACGAACGGGGGGTTGTGGGGCGGGAAAGAGGAACGGGGGGTTGTGGGGCGGGAAGGGGGTGGGGAAGAGGCGAGGCGGTCGGGGTGGTGGAAGTGCCCCCCCTTGGGCTGGACTGGCAGCAGATAGTGCGCCCCTGGAGGGACAAGGGGGTGGGCAAGAGCGATGGTGAGCGCACGGGTCATTCTAGTTGGAAGTGCCGCATGGCGGTGTGAGCGCGCATGAGCAGAGGTTATTGTGTGAGCGCGCATGAGCAGAGGTTACTGTGTGTGAAGGGAAGAGGTCGACTGACAATGCCGGCGCTGGAGTAGTGCGAGCCGTAGTGGAACTTGGGGATGATGGGGTCCGCAAAGCTGTGGTACCGCTCCACAAACTTCTCCAACCGCCCCGCATCCAGTGCCCCCACCGGCTGCACTCGCGAGGGAGGGGGGCGGGGAGAGGTGTGTTGGGGATGTGTGGGAACTTGGGTGAAAAGGCAAGGTGAAAGAACACGAGGTGGGATTTGAAAGAGAGTGGAGCTAGAAGAGTATGAATACTGAAGGCATTTAGATGTGTATGTGAAGTAAAGAAGAAGGTATTTGGAGGAGAAAGGACGAGGCACCTTGGAGAGGTCTCTGAAGGTGGCTGGGTTGGTGAGGTCGAGCTCCTTTGAGGTATAGTCCTGAATTACCCAGGGGAAGACGGGGTACTGGCAGGACGAGAGACGATGGGTGTGGTGAGAAGGGGAGGAAGGGGAGGAAGGGGAGGAAGGGAAGGGAGGAGAGGGCGGGAGGAAAGAGCATGACATGAGGAGATGTAGTTAACGGGAAGGAAAGCAAGCAAGCACTGGAATGTGCTGGTCACCACAGCAAGGTTGGAAATGTGAAGCAATCCATGGAAATGGCACATTGAGGTGAATGACGGGGTTGGATTGGAGTTACCTGGGTGACATCGTTACCTGGGTGACATCGTTACCTGGGTGACATCGTTACCTGGGTGACGTCGTTACCCGGGTGGCATCGTTACCTGGGTGACGTCGTTACCTGGGTGACATCGTTACCTGGGTGACATCGTTACCTGGGTGACATCGTTACCTGGGTGACATCGTTACCTGGGTGACATCGTTACCTGGGTGACATCGTTACCTGGGTGACATCGTTACCTGGGTGACATCGTTACCTGGGTGACATCGTTACCTGGGTGACATCGTTACCTGGGTGGCATCGTTACCTGGGTGACGTCGTTACCTGGGTGACATTGTTACCTGGGTGACATCGTTACCTGGGTGACATCGTTACCTGGGTGATGTCGTTACCTGGGTGACATCGTTACCTGGGTGACGTCGTTACCTGGGTGACATCGTTACCTGGGTGACATCGTTACCTGGGTGACATCGTTACCTGGGTGACATCGTTACCTGGGTGACATCGTTACCTGGGTGACATCGTTGAAGGTGCGGCCCGCCAGGGTGTTGAGCTGCATGAGGTAGTCGAAGTTGGTGATCTGATAAACGGCGCGACCCGAGCACACGCGGGGAGGGGAACGACATGGCAACAAGAAAACAATGGGATCAGCTGGTAAGAGCGTTGAGGTGAATGAAATGGTCAACGCTGGTGATATGACGAGCAGCGATGAGCGGATGGAAGCAAGGTTGTGAGACAAGGGGGGCAAACAGCAACACATGGCAATCCCCTGGCTCTGCTGTCCGTACAACCACCATCCCTCTCCCCTGGCTCTGCTGTCCGTACAACCACCATCCTCTCCCTGGCTCCTGCTGTCCGTACAACCACCATCCCCTGGCTCTGCTGTCCGTACAACCACCATCCCTCTCCCTGGCTCTGCTGTCCGTACAACCACCATCCCTCTCCCCTGGCTCTGCTGTCCGTACAACCACCATCCCTCTCCCCTGGCTCTGCTGTCCGTACAACCACCATCCCTCTCCCCTGGCTCTGCTGTCCGTACAACCACCATCCCTCTCCCCTGGCTCTGCTGTCCATACAACCACCATCCCTCTCCCCTGGCTCTGCTGTCCGTACAACCACCATCCCTCTCCCCTGGCTCTGGTGTCCGTACAACCACCATTCGTGTCCCCTGGCAGCTCACCTCCCTGCGGAGCCATCTCTCAGTGAGCGGTAGCCTCTCAAGCATCTTCTCCGGGCGCTGGTGAGGGCGCGCAGGGGGGTACCAAGGCACGCACACATGGCAACAAAGCGGTCACTCTTGCACCAGTATACGCAGCCGAGAGCATGTCCGTACACGCAGGCAAGAGCATGTCCATACACGCAGGCAAGAGCATGTCCATACACGCAGGCAAGAGCATGTCCATACACGCAGGCAAGAGCATGTCCATACCATGTCATCTGGGGCAGTAAGAGTGGTAAGGGTACAATGTGTGGCGAGGTTACGACGTACAAAGGGCGTGCACAGGTGCAGGGGGGCGTGGGCGTGAGGAGAGGAGGGCGCACCAGAGTGGGGGAGAAGTGATGCTGCAGGTGCGGTGGGTTGGCATGCTGGATGGCTCGGTGCACGCGTAGCCGCTCCTCCGGGCCCTGTCATGTCAAGGGCGGTGGGGGGCACAAGAGGCAGAGGCAGGCACACGCATGAGGCGAGAGGTCTTTTCACCCATGCGTAAGCATGAGGATTGGTCCGGCATATGGAAGAGGATTTGTGGGAGGGAGATGTGCTCTCTCCTCTTCTCAACCCCCAGCTCGTGTGAACATCCTTGCCGAACCCATGTCCGTGTGTGCCCCCCCTCCTCCCCCTTCCCCTTGCGCGCACCTCAAAGTTGAAGAAGAAGTTGGAGCGGTCGATCATGAACACCTCCAGGGCCGAGCGCCGCAGCAGGTAGCTGATGCCGGGGGGAGGGGACAAGGGAAGGCAGAGGGCGGACGCAGCAAGGCATGGCCAGCAAACATGAGACGACTTCCTGAACAGAAAGTTACTGAAAAATGAGTCGAATGGAAAACACGGAAAGCAGAAGCAGAGAAACACGCACGCACGCACGCACGCACGCACACGCACACGCACATGCTCGCACACACGCACACGGACACACGCACACACACATTAGTACAAAACAGTGGGAGCAGTGGGATGCTCAACTCAAGTCCCGGCATTCACTCACCGCCTGCTGAGCATTCACTCACCGCCTGCTGAGCATTCACTCACCGCCTGCTGAGCATTCACTCACCGCCTGCTGAGCATTCACTCACCGCCTGCTGAGCATTCACTCACCGCCTGCTGAGCATTCACTCACCGCCTGCTGAGCACCTCCCTCACGGATGTCAGCCGCCACACTCTATCCCGCGCCTTCTTCCCCCCCCCACCCTCCTCGCCCTCCGCCCTTCCCCCTCCACCCCCGTCCGTCCCCTGGTCGCCCGGCGCGCTCTCCTTGAAATGCACGGAGGGGTCAACCAGGAAGAGCAAGCGAGAGGCAGTGACGAGGAGGCGGCCGTTGAGGACTTGAAGGGGCAGCACCATCATGGCCGGCACCTCCACCACCACTCGCTCCCTCTCCCCCACCGCCACCTCTGCCGCCACCTCGCTGCTGCCCACCACTGCTGACAGCCCCGGCTGCTCGCCTGCTGCCAACGCCACTGCTGCCACTGCCGACGCTGCCAGGGCTTCCTGGGGTGCTGTGGCAGTAGAGGAGGTAGTGGTGGTGGTGGCAGTAGAAGCAGGAGCAGCAGCAGTGCAGGGACCAGCAGTGCCACTGCTGGCACTAGTGCTGCTGGCGGTGGTGGTGGCGGTGGTGGTGGCGGTGGTGGTGGCGGTGCTGCTGGCGGTGGCGGTGGTGGTGGTGGTGGAGGGAGGCTCAGGCGAGGAGGCTGAAGCTGCGTGGCTTGTTGGTTCAGAAGCCACCTCGCCTCCCTCTGCCTGCTTGCTGCCTCCTCCATCTCCACCCTCCTCCCCTGCTGCACTCGTCCCCTCCTCGACTGGCGACACTCTTGCTTCTGATGAGTCACCACCCTTTGCGTCTGACTCAGCATCAGATGCCGTTGGTCGTGGCTCAGCAGCAGATGCCGTTGGTCGTGACTCAGCATCGTTCGCCCCCAGAGTATCATCGGCACCTGGCATGTGCTTCACACCACCTTCCAGCACCGCATGCTCCACAGCAGCACCCCCCACTTCACCTCCCTCTGCTACTGTCCGGCCTTCACCATCCCCCTCTGCTGCACCTCGTGCCCCCTCCGTCTCCTCACCTTCTCCACCCTCCCCCTCCCGTCTGTCTGTCTCGACCTCCCCTTGCGGTCCCTCCTCATCCGCGCTCATCAGCACGGGAGCATCGAAGTCTTTCACAGGGGCTGGCAGGCAGCCGCCCAGCAGCCCCGATGCGTCTTCCACTATGGCCCCTCCCACCCCCTCCACATCCCCTACGCCACTCCCCTCCGCCACCCCTTCCTTCGCCTCATCCTTCCCCTCCCCATCCACACCCACACCCTCACTACCCGCCCCTCCTCCCACTGCAGCCCCCTCTCCCTCCCCATCCTCCTCTCGTGTCTTCCCCACATCCCCCCCCTCCTGCAGGCCCACCGCCCCTGCCACCCCCCCCCTCTCCACCCCATCCGTGTCCCCCTGGGAGCGTGCGCGCTTGGCAGCGGGCGGGGGGTCGTGAGTGGGGGGGCGGAAGTCAGCAGCGAGGCCGTGGCAGTCGGAGCCGCGGTAGTTGCGCACCATGCGGCGCCTCATGCGCGCGCTGCTCTCCACGCGGTCCAGCTTCCAAAACACCTGCGCGCATGGGATGGGGGCCACGCATGTTCCACACCACAGTGATGTGTTGGGGTTTGGTGGAGAGGGAGAGAGAGGGAGGAGAGAGGCGAAAGGGGCGGGGCACATGGTTAGAGGGATGCAGGCACTGGGTTTGGATGGGAAGAGGAGGCGGTTCATAGCAGGCGGCAGCACGTGCTGATGCTCCTGGAGGCTGGAGGCTTCCAAAAGCATCTAGTTTCTTCAACGACGTGGGTTTCTTTTTCAGGAACTTGGCGTCCATGCCATGCCACTGTGGTACGTGCTTGACACTGCCCCACCCCTCGCCCCTGTCTCACCCGGCGCTGCTTCAACTCGTGGTAACTGCCAGGGAGGCCCACGAGCAGCCCTGACTCGAGGAGCTGGCGAATGAGGGAGCGCCACATGCGCATGCCAGCTGTGTGCGCGCGCGCCATCTGCGTCTCGATCTTCACCCTCCGCAGCCTCTGCACACATGGGAGGGGGGAGATGGCACAAGGAAAGAGACCAATGCGTGTGTGCAGTGCACGCGCTCCTGTGTGTCGTTGCGGCTCCCATGTCACCCTGTGTGACCTAACCAGTGCACAAGGGAGAGGTGAAGGGAAGAGGTGCACGGAGGAAACGGCGAATACAGCACCCGCATTCATCATCTCTCCACCTGAGCCTTCTCTCTCCCCTTGTCCTTGTGCATACATAAATTTTGAGATGAGGGTGAGGAAGTGTTTACTGCATCACTTGTATGAGGGTAGGGACTCGCACCTGAGGGTAGGGACTCGCACCTGAGGGTAGGGACTCGCACCTGAGGGTAGGGACTCGCACCTGAGGGTAGGGACTCGCACCTGAGGGTAGGGACTCGCACCTGAGGGTAGGGACTCGCACCTGAGGGTAGGGATGAGCACCTGAGCGCGAATGAGGCCGCGCATGCCATCGAGGTGCTGCTGCAGCCCGCCCAGCGTGGGACCCAGCGCCGTGCCATTCCCCCCTTCCTCTGCCCCCGCCGCTGCTGCCCCTCCCTCCCTCCCTTCCACCCCTCCAACACCAGCAGCAGCAGCAGCACCGGCACTGGTGCGAGTGGCAGCAGAGACAGGGATGCCCCGACTGCAGTCCCACGCCTTCTCCACGGCCTCCCCCAGGCTCCACCTCTGCGCACGGTCCTTGTCGCCGTTCATGCGCCGCTGGGACGATGTTGCCCCCTCCCGCTCCCCCTCCTGCCTCCCTCCCCCCGTTTTAGTCATGCCGCTGCGTTGAGACATGCGCCGGCTGACTGCTGAGCTGGCGCCAGGCTGGCCGGGCGGCAGGTGATGACTGCTAGTGCGGGTGACAGAAGCAGAAGTGCTACTGGCAGTCCCAGGTGCGTGACTGGCAGAGGCAGCAAGGATGGTGCTGCCTGTGGGTGGGGTGGCGCTAGGGTAGGTAGACGTGCGCGTGACAGGAGCGGAGGAGAGGGCGGAGAGGGAGGAGGCGGAGGAGGAGGAGGTGAGGGTGGTGCGGGGGGGAACAGAGCCGGGGCCAGCAGCAGCAGCCATGGCTGCCAGGGCCGCGGAGGCAGGGGGGGACGCCAAGGCTGCCACCCAGATCACTTGCAGCAGCGCCAGTGATGCCTGGGGGGGTGAGGAGGTGCAAGGGACAGAATTGCGTTGGGATTTGGATGGAAAGGGGGAAATGCAAATGTTGGGAAAGCAGGAAAAATATTTTTTTTTTTTTTTTTTTTTTTTTTTTTTTTTTTTTTTTTTTTTTTTTTTTTGCAGTGCTCAGCTGGCAGTGCTCAGCTGGCAGTGCGCGACCCTGGGAAGGCGCGAGGCACTCACCTCGTCTGCTGCGGCGTCGGTTACAAGAACCCTAAACCTTTATAATTGACCAAAAACGTGCAAGAACCTGAGAAGGTGAGAAGGACGACCCACCTCATGGGGTGCAGCATCAGTGGCAAGCGCGCGGTCATCATCCCTCAACAAGGGGTTGTGACCCTCGAAGTCTGTGAGGTGCGGGATGAAGGCAAAGGCCGAGCGCCACTTGCGCAGCAGCGCTGCCAGGGGCGGCTGCACCACTGTGATGAGGGCCGGGCGCAGGATGGCGCGCGATGGCGCTATGGCGTGGATGGCCTGATGGGCGCGCGGCAGGTAGAGGCGAGTGGGGGAGAGGAGAGAGAAGAAGGGGGGTGTGGGGGTTTGCAGGTGGGTTGGGATGCGGAGGCAGTGGGATGGTTGTAGCAAGAGTAGAGACAAGTGGGGTGCGAGGAGGGCAAGACTTGACACAAGTGGGGTGCGAGGAGGGCAAGCAGCACGAGATGAGGGACGGGTTCAGAACGTGCGAGTGACCTCTGTGTGCGACTGACCTCTGTGTGCGACTGACCTCTGTGTGCGAGTGACCTCTGTGTGCGACTGACCTCTGTGTGCGACTGACCTCTGTGTGCGACTGACCTCTGTGTGCGACTGACCTCTGTGTGCGACTGACCTCTGTGTGCGACTGACCTCTGTGTGCAGGACGGCAGATGCTGCGAGGGCGCACTGCTTGCGAGCATCAAGTGACGCTGTTGTGAGCAGTGGCAGCACAGCACTGCAGGACGGAGGCAGGGGGGCGAGACGAGCAGAAGAGGGAAGTGTGAGAGTGCAGATTGGTGGGAGGGAGGGACGGGAGACAGCATGGTGCGGTGCGGTGGGCATAGCAACATGGTGAGGTGGGAGTGCACGGCACATAGCAACATGGTGAGGTGGGAGTGCACGGCACATAGCAACATGGTGAGGTGGGAGTGCACGGCACATAGCAACATGGTGAGGTGGGAGTGCACGGCACATAGCAACATGGTGAGGTGGGAGTGCACGGCACATAGCAACATGGTGCGGTGGGAGTGCACGGCACATAGCGACATGGTGAGGTGGGAGTGCACGGCACATAGCAACATGGTGAGGTGGAGGGGCCCATAGCAACATGGTGAGGTGGGAGTGCACGGCACATAGCAACATGGTGAGGTGGGAGTGCACGGCACATAGCAACATGGTGAGGTGGGAGTGCACGGCACATAGCAACATGGTGAGGTGGGAGTGCACGGCACATAGCAACATGGTGAGGTGGGAGTGCACGGCACATAGCAACATGGTGAGGTGGGAGTGCACGGCACATAGCAACATGGTGCGGTGGGAGTGCACGGCACATAGCAACATGGTGAGGTGGGAGTGCACGGCACATAGCAACATGGTGAGGTGGGAGTGCACGGCACATAGCAACATGGTGAGGTGGGAGTGCACGGCACATAGCAACATGGTGAGGTGGGAGTGCACGGCACATAGCAATATGGTGAGGTGGGAGTGCACGGCACATAGCAACATGGTGAGGTGGGAGTGCACGGCACATAGCAACATGGTGAGGTGGGAGTGCACGGCACATAGCAACGATCAAGAGATGAGCATGCGCATGTCATGGCTGCCGTGCACGTACCGCCAGAGCAGCGAGCTGAGAACGCCAGGAGAGATGCCCTCCATCTCACCTCGCTCCCACGCCATCCCTCCCCCGCCCGCCCCATCTACTCGCCCCTCCTTTGCATGTGGTGCTGCCCCGTCCCCCCCCTGGTCCACGTCCACCACGTCACTGAGCTCCCTGGCAGCCACGGCCACGAGGCGGATGACAGTCAGCAGCGTCTGGTCGTCCTCCAGGAGCAACTGACTCGCGCGGTTCAACACGCCCCCCGCACTCCCCCCTCCCAGCATGTTCGCTATCCCCCCCACCACCGCCAACACCCCTTCCGCCGCCCCTGCACCTCCCTTTCCCCCCTGCTTCTCGCCCCCCTGCCCCACCTTCCCTTCGTCCAGCAGCATGGATCGCAGCATGCTCACAGCCTTCACCACAAGAGGCAGGTCCTGCCACCGCCCCGTCACCGGGTCAATCTCCACTGCTGCCGCCCACGCCGCCCGCCCGCCGCCCCACCCCGGTCCCCCCTTCCCCTCGGGCGGCACCGCCACGCCATACCACAGCTTGCTCCTGTGCCCCCAACTGAGGGGTAACTCCTGGGAAATAGACCCGTAAGTCGGCAGGGCGCAGCGCACGCCCTCAAAGGGCTCTGCACTGGTGGAGGCAGTTATGCGGTCCAGCATGGGGGCAGTGAGCTGGCCCGCATTATCCGCCATGAGCGTGAGCATCTCGAGAGTGAGCAGATCAGTGGGGCTGCGGCGCCGCGAGGAGGAGCCTGCGGAGAGCAACGGATTGGACAGCTGCGCCGCCAGCGGCATCAACCCTGCTGCTGCCGCCGCCGCTGCTGTGGCCGTCGTGCCTGGCAGCACAGACCCCACTCCCGCAGCAACGGAGGCTCCAGTGGGGGAGTCAGGGGCGTCGTGCCAGGCGGCAGGGCGGGAGCCGGGGAGGGTGTCATCGGCATCGAAGGCAACGGTGGGCAGGGCGAGGGGCGAGCGGGCGGCGGCGTGGAAGCGCAGGAAGTCCTCGAGCAGCATCAGCAGCGCCACCGCGTTCTCCAGCAGCCATGCCGACGTGGGCGACGTGAGCAGCGGGTCGGGAGCGCGCGCGTGTGGGGAGGTGGGCGTGGGCGAGATGGGGATGTCTATGGGGAGAGGCGATGCCAGCGCTGCTGCCTCTGCTGCTGCCGCTGCTGCCGCTGCTGCCGCTGCTGCTGTGGCCTCCACTTGAGCCTGCTTGGCGGTGGTGGTGTGGGTGGGCAGGATAAGGGGTGGGCGATGGGGCAGGGGCTAGGTGAGAGGGAGAAGAGAACGAGGGATTACAGTGGTCGGAAAGGAAGAAGAGATGGGGAATAATAGAGTGAGATATGACCTGCAGGCGCAGGTGGGCGGCAGTGAAGTCCATGACGCCATGCAGCAGGCGCCGCTTCACCGTTGCCATGCCCTCCTCTCGCCTGAGGTGACCACGCACAGACACACACACACACACACACACACACACACACACACACACGCTCACACACACTCACACACACACACACACACATGCACCCGCCGGCAGAGTGGGGGGAAATTGATATGGGAAGCGTTATATGTTGAGGCGCCTTGGCAATGGCCTCGCGCCTGTCAAAAAAGTGAAGCAGTGCAGTTGAGCAGGTGAAGCACCCACTGGGTGGCGAGAGTTGCTTAAATGATAGCTTCCTTCAACTCCCTCGGTCCCGTGAGTTGCTCACTTGATGAGCACGGCTACGGAGTTGAGTAAGTGAAGACCAATGGATTGACTTGCTGGTTGACTCACTTGACTCGCTGATTTGACTCACTTGACTCGCTCGGGGCCGATGCTGGATCCACCAATGAGAGCCATCCACTCAAGGCAATGGAATGTGGCCTCTAGCTCCTGCACATGCCATGATGGCATGATGGCATGGTGGCATGATGGCATGGTGGCATGATGGCATGATGGCATGGTGGCATGGTGGCATGATGGCATGATGGCATGGTGGCATGGTGGCATGATGGCATGATGGCATGATGGCATGGTGGCATGGTGGCATGATGGCATGATGGCATGGTGGCATGATGGCATGGTGGCATGATGGCATGATGGCATGGTGGCATGGTGGCATGATGGCATGATGGCATGATGGCATGGTGGCATGGTGGCATGATGGCATGATGTCATGATGGCATGGTGGCATGGTGGCATGATAGCATGATGGCATGGTGGCATGATGGCATGGTGGCATGGTGGCATGATGGCATGATGGCATGGTGGCATGATGGCATGGTGGCATGATGGCATGATGGCATGATGGCATGGTGGCATGGTGGCATGATGGCATGATGGCATGGTGGCATGATGGCATGGTGGCATGATGGCATGATGGCATGGTGGCATGGTGGCATGATGGCATGATGGCATGGTGGCATGATGGCATGATGGCATGATGGCATGGTGGCATGGTGGCATGGTGGCATGATGGCATGATGGCATGGTGGCATGATGGCATGGTGGCATGGTGGCATGGTGGCATGATGGCATGGTGGCATGATGGCATGATGGCGTGGTGGCATGGTGGCATGATGGCATGGTGGCATGATGGCATGGTGGCATGATGGCATGGTGGCATGATGGCATGATGGCATGATGGCATGGTGGCATGGTGGCATGATGGCATGATGGCATGGTGGCATGATGGCATGGTGGCATGGTGGCATGATGGCATGATGGCATGGTGGCATGGTGGCATGATGGCATGGTGGCATGATGGCATGATGGCATGATGGCATGGTGGCATGATGGCATGATGGCATGGTGGCATGATGGCATGATGGGAAAACGGGAATGCGGAGAGAGAGGTTAGAATATGGGTCTGTGGCGATGAGGACGAGGGGGAGCGTGACGGAGAGAGTGAGAAGGTAAGGGCGAGCACAATGGCATGGAGAGTGACGTGCAGGTGGCAGGGGAGGCAGCAGCTGGGCAGCAGTTTCTTGTGTTCACAGACTGCAGCGCACAGGCGGGTCACCTTCCAGCCATGCTTGAACGTCATGCAGTGTTGGAGCACGGTGCCCAGGAAGGAGAAGATCATCTCGTTCACATCCACGCGCTCCCGCTGCTCCTCTCTCAACCCCCCTCCTCTGCTACCACCACTATCGTCAACCGCCCCGCCACTGCCATCACCATCACCACCTGCACCTGCCTCCTCCACACGCCCCTCCCCGCCCTCCCCTCCCCCTGCCGTGCCACTTGCAGCGGCCGTGGGTGTCTCATTGCCTTGCCCTGCCGCGTGCTGCTTCCCGTGCGCAGCAGAGGCAGCTTCAGTGCTGCTGATGGAGCAGGCGCCAGCAGGCAGTCGCTGCAGCGCAGAAGACAAGCAGAGGTGAGAAGGAGCGGTGAGAAGGACAAGTAGATGAGGGAAAAGGGAAGATGGGAGACAAGTAGATGAGGGAAAAGGGAAGATGGGAGATAAGTAGATGAGGGAAAAGGGAAGATGGGAGACAAGTAGATGAGGGAAAAGGGAAGATGGGAGACAAGTAGATGAGGGAAAAGGGAAGATGGGAGACAAGTAGATGAGGGAAAAGGGAAGATGGGAGACGGGCAAGAAGGGAGTGCAAGGGACGGATGGTGCAGCTGTGCAGGAGTGGCATATCCGCATGTGCAGCTCAACTGTACATGTGAGCTCACGTGGACGTGACCCACTCACCTCGAGGTTGTCCAGCAGGATCTCACCTCGAGGTTGTCTAGCAGGATCTCACCTCGAGGTTGTCTAGCAGGATCTCACCTCGAGGTTGTCCAGCAGGATCTCGAGAAGCCACTCGGGCCACTCTGGCAGGCATGACAGCTGGCGGCGGTTGCTGCCACTCAGCGACACCAGCAGCAGCACGTCCTGTGGGTGGGTGGGGTGCGGTGAGCATGGTTGGAGGGGAGGACCTATTGAGGCGATTCACAAGCAGAGGCACAGCAGCAACATCTGATGTGGGGAGCAGTATGGGCAGGCAGAGGGAGCAGATGTGATTGGAGTAAAGAATAGAAAGAGCATGTGGAGTGCATGGAGAGAGCATGGGAGGGCAAGGGGGAAAAGGCTTGCCTGCAGAATGGCGAGTTGCGTGCGAGGAGAGGCAGAGGGCAGCGCTCTGAGCAGCGCCAGCAGCAGCTGCAGCTGCGACTCCGCCAAGACCGTGTCGGGTGGGAGCACCCTCCGCCCTGCTGCTGCTGTGGCAGCCTCGCCCGCACTGGCGTTGGTGGTGCTGGCAGCTGCTTGCGCTGATGTGGATGACTGCAGGGAAGCGGGCAGGGGCGAATGCATGCGATGAGTGGGAAATGCATGGGAGGATGGAGGGCGGAACACAAGAGGGGGGAGAACCAATGGGGGTGAGAGAAAGAATGATAGCAAACGAATGAGACGGAGATTAAGGACAGTGATGCAGTGAGAGTCAGTTGAGGACAAACACATGCTCTCGTTCCATTCTTCCCTTGCGCCTCGTGACATCCCTCAGCTCGCCTCACCAGTCAGTCACCACACCACGCATCCTCACCTCTCATCGCAGCACAGCAGTCAAAGAGCACATGGTACACAGCAGGCGTGAGCAGCCTCTTGCGGGAAGAAATGCCAGGCTGGCACCTCGCATGCGTCTCACCTCGCAGCGCAGCACGGCGGTCATGATGGCATGGTACACGGCAGGCGTGAGCAGCCTGTCAGGCGCCAGCTGCAGCGCCCTCTGCACGCCGTACACCGCCCACGCCCCCACGTTATTGCGCTCCCCCACCCCTCTATCCGCCACCACCGACCCCAGCCCTGCTCCCGCCCCCCCCGGCACCAGCCCCAGCACAGCCGGGCTGCTGAGCCGAATGTACCCTCCCTCCGCTAACAGCCCTAGGATCGACACCACTGCGAGGAAGATCCCATCTGGGCCGTCCGTGAGGGGGAAGTCGTTTGACTTCGGTGCGAGCAAGGACTGCTCGCCATAAGCGGAGGAGGCGAGGCGGCGCCCACTGCCAGTGCGCGTGCCACTGCCAGAGAGGGAGAGCGCGGCTGCTGCCACCATCACATCCCCTGAGAGCCCGTGAGAGCCCTTGGCGCCTGCTGCTCTGCTGCTGCCCAAGGGCTGCCGGATGCACACAGAGGGGGCCACTGTGACGCTGTTCCCGGCGGGTCCCGGGGCGAGAATGCTCATGTGCGACGCTTGGAACAGCCCTCGCTGCTGAAGCTTCCTCAGGATCTCACCAGCCACGTCCACCCCCGTTCGCGGCTCAGGGATCCGCTCCTCCCTCTCCTCCTTCGCCTCCTCTGCTGCCTCCCCGTCCGTCCCCCCTGCTCGTGTCTCCTTCGCCCCCTCCTCGCCGCTGCTGCCAGCAGCTGCTGTCTGCCGATCCGCTGCTTTCGCTTCTGCCTCTGGGGAATCGGCCCGGGTGCCAAAGGGGTCGAAGAAGGCTTGCCAGGAGGCGGGGGTGGAGGCGGCGGGGGTGGCGGGGTTCGGGGTGGGTGGTTTGGGGGAGAGCGCCTGAGAAGTGGTGCTGTTGCTGCTGCCTCGTGGCACGTCCACCTTCAGCTCTGCACTCGGCCCTTTTCCCCCACACCCACTCGCATCTGCTGCTTCTGCTTCAGTTGTTGTGCTTGCTGCCATGCCTGCTGCTTCTGCGGCTGATCGAGCACCTTCCTTGTCTGTGGAATCTCCACCCTCCACAGCAGCACTATCAGCACCGTCGCCCCCGGTGCCTGCACTGCCCTCCACACTACTGCTGGCCGCGTCCTCCGCCACACCTCCATCCTTACCCTTCACTCCTCCAACCGTCACCCCACCATCGCCCTTCTCTTCCCCCACCACCTCCTTCACACGGGCCGCCTGGGCCTTACAAGGCACGGGGGGGAAGAGCAGGGGACACGCGTCGCCCCACTGGCTCTCCCTTAGCAGCAGCGCCAGCAGCATGTGGGCGCCGCCCGCTGCCAGGAACTGCACGGAGAAGCCGGCTGCTCTCGCGGCGTTGGGGTGGGATAGGAGGCGGTACACCAGCAGCAGCACTCGCACCACCTGCCAGAGCGCATCAGGGGGAGAGGAAGCAGGGACACAAACGCTAAGAAGAAAGAGGAAGAGGACACGAGGCGGTAAGTGAGTGAGGCATGATGGCATGCAAACGGAGTGGACGGAAGGGCAGTGTGTTGTGAGAGCACAGGGACACAGGGCATGGCATCGCAAGAGTAGGCTTCCGGTTTGAGAGGTTGAGGGTTGAGAGTTGAGGTTTGAGGTTCAGGGTTGAGAGTTGAGGTTTGAGGTTCAGGGTTGAGAGTTGAGGTTTGAGGTTCAGGGTTGAGAGTTGAGGTTTGAGGTTCAGGGTTGAGAGTTGAGGTTTGAGGTTCAGGGTTGAGAGTTGAGGTTTGACCTGGTTGGGGTGTGGGCAGTCGAGCAGGAAGGCAACGAGTGTGCGCATGTCAGCCGCCATGGCGGGGGCAGAGCTGGTGGCGAGCAGCAGCTCCAGCACGCCCATCACGGCATCCACCAGCGCATTCACCTCGCCCATCCGCGCATGCTGCCCCGCCACCACCTCCCCCTCCTCCTCTGCTCCTCCAGTCTCTTGTGCCCCCGGGCTCTTCATTGACAACGGAGTGGCAGAGCGAGAGGAGGCGGGGCCGAGGGGCAGGGACATGGCTTCCAGCTGCACCCAGTAGCAGCGCCGGCACCCATCCAGCAGCACGGGCAGCGCGCCTGCTGCTCTCAGCGTGTGCTGCTCGCGCACTGCAACGGCGGCCAGCGACGACAGCACCTGCTGCTGCACAGCCAGGGGGCACGACGCCCACAGGGGCAGGTGCAGCAGCAGGTGCAGGAAGAGGTGCGGCTTTAACGGGTCACCGAAGCGTGGTGCCATGGTGAGTGCTGCAGCTGCCGCCGCCAGCTGGTTGTCGTACGGCGGGTCATCCTCATCCGTGCCACGCACCGCCACCGCTGCACCCTGCTGCTCACTCACCTCCTTGTCCGCACTGTTACCACCCCCCGCCCCAGCACCACCCGCCACCCCCCCTTGGGCGCACGTACTGAGCCCATATGCGAGCATGAGCGCCAGCATGGCGGGAGCCCCTCCCCTGATCTCCTCCCTGTTCATGCCGTGCCGCATCGCCCGCCCCACCAGCCCCAGCACACGCGGCAGCAGCGTCGCTGCAGCCACTGCAGCAGGCGGATCCGCAGAGAGAGGCAGCGGCAGCGGGAGGAACGAGTCCGGGTGCACGGCGTGAATGGCGAGAGTCAGCAGCGCCAGCGGCCCCCCCTGCCCCGCCTGCCAGATGGCCTCCGGCACTCGGTGCCTGGCCGCCACATGCACATGCCCCAGCACTTCAGCCGGCCGCCTGTGCACCCCGGCAGCACTGGCAGGGGAGGCGTCAGGACAGAATCGACCGAGCAGGAGGCGCGGGTGGTAGAGCAGGTGCAGGCGGGGGGCGAGGTCGGAGTCGAGGCTGTATGCATCATCGGCTGCCAGCATGAGCTGGTCGCTGCTCACCAGCGCCGGCACGCCCGCCCCCGCGCCAAAGCACGGCAGGTGGTCCCCGCCGCGCGCGGCGAGGCGCATCATGCGCTCGGCGCCGATGGGCTCCTTGAAGATGTACACGGGCCCCACCTCCGCAAACAGCGGGCACTGCTTGCGCCGCCGCTGCAGCCCCGCCATGGCGGCGGGCGGGTTGGTGCCGATGCACAGGAAGCCGAGCGGGCGGGAGATGCGCGGGAGGTCGAGCGGGAGGGACTCTGTGAGGCGCCCGTCCACGTACAGCCGCATGTGGCACTCCGCCTTGCCCAGCAGCGACGGCTTGAACACGTGCTCCAGCCCTATGAAGTACCAGCGCTGCGCCTCAAACGCGTGCGAGAAGTGGAAGGTGCTCTTGGAGCCGCGGTGCGTGGAGGACTCGACAATGAGGTACTCGCGGTGGAAGTACGCCTCCACGCCCTCGCTCTCTGCCGTCAGGAAGCTGTACAGCCGCGGCATGTGCATCAGCCCCTCCCCTGCCAGTGCGCTCGCGGCTGCAGCAGCGGAGACCGCAGAGGTGCGGCCGACCTTGGCGGTGGCGGCGGCAGCGATGGCGGCGGCCATGGCAGCGGCGCCCACAGCGGAGCTCTCGGTGTCGTAGAAGGACTCCACGTAGATCCACGTCGCAAACGCATACCCGTTGCCGAACGGCCACTTGCTGTCGCCGGGCCCCAGCAGCCCTGAGCTCTCGCCGTCCAGCTCGAAGGTGTATGCGGGCGCCCTCACCTCCTCCCCCTCCATCGCCCCCTGCAGCGCATCCAGCAGCGCACCCGCCCTCTCTTGCCTCACCCACTCCCCTCCTCCTGCTCCGCCTCTTACCCCCTTCTCTCCGCCTCCTCCTCCCCCTGCCATCCCGGCTGCCCCTGTTCCTGTTGATGCAATGGAGGCAGGTGGGGTGCTGGCAGCGGGGGGAGAGGCGGTGAGAGCAACAACGGACGCCATCCACTGGCGCAGCTCGCCCACGGACACGGAGTGAGACGCCAGAGACTGCAGCGCCGCCAGCACAGGCCGAGCATCCCACGCAGCCTCAGCTGCACCATACAGCGCAGCACCACCCTCGCCCGCACCCTCCCTTGCGCTGCTCCCATTCGGCTCCACCGGCAACGGTGCTTCATCCAGCAGGGCAGCACCAGGTGGCAGCGACCCATTGGCCCGCACGCCGCCCAGGAGGATGATGCGGAGGGAGGCGAGGAGGGAGGAGGTGAGGCGAGCGGCAGCGCACATGGCACGGTTGCGCGTGCAGGAGGAGAGCGCCGTGGCCAGCACTCGTGCCACGCGCGTGCGCGGGGACCTCCCACTTGCCACCACTGCCCCTGCCGCCCACCTTGCACCTGTTCCCGATCCAGCTGCCCCTGCCGCTGCGCCTGCCTCTGTCTTGGCACTCTCCTCGCCATCTCCTCTCTCTGCTGCTGCTTCCCTCGCTGCCGCATCACTCACTGTTCCACTGGCGGTGACCCCAGGCGGGCGGCAGTCATGGCATGGCAGCCACGGCAGCAGCGCGGCGGCCAGCACAGCGGCCTCGGCACACATCATGATGACAGGCCCAGGCACCTTGCCATTCCTCCGCCGCTCCGCGCCCCTGCTCTCGCCACTGCCGTCCGCCTCCTGCACGTCGCCCCCCTCGTGCGTGCACCCCATGATGGCCAGAAGGGTTGCCACCACCACCGCAGCAGCTGCGTCTCGTTCCTCCGCCCCCACTGCACCTGCATCACTCCCTCCCTCCGCGCCCTTCCCCACTCCCTCACTCTCGTTTGTCTCCGCCTCGTCCTTTCCGCCTGCACTCCGCGCCTCTGCGTCTCCCCCCCCCACCACGCGAATCCCCTCCAATCGGCACATCCCGGCCACCAGTCGCTGCAGCTGCAACACCCCTTTTCCCCCCCTCTGCCTCTCCGTCCCTCCGTCCCTCCCTTCTCCCTTCGCACCCCTCGCCACCTCCTGCAGAGCCTTTTCAATCACCGCGATCAGCGCGGGAGGCACGTCGGGCGGCGCCATGGCGGAGAGCGAAGGCGCTGCGGAAGGCGGGATCCGCGGAGGAGCAGCGGCAGCAGTGGCGGGAGCGCGGATGACCGCGCTTGTAGCGGCAGCTGCGGCGCCTGCTGCGGCGGTTCTCACGGCGCCCCATGCGCGGATTACCTCTTCCATAACGGACGGCGCCTGAGGCGGGAAGCGTGGGGGGAGCGGCTGGTTGGAAAGAGCGGTTGGGACCGTGCCTGTAGCTCGCTGCTTCCCCTCCGCCGCTGCTGCTGAACCCGCAGATGAGCCTTCCTGAGTTAGACCCACCCATCCTGCTGCTGTTTCGCTGCCTTCGATAACATCACTCGAATTTGTTGCCGCAGTCTGCATTCCTTCTCCCGCATCGGAAAAAGGTGGAATGTTGGAATCCAGTCCGGGGTGAAGCTCCAGCCCGGAGAGGTCCGTTCCCATGGTTATGAATGTCGATGAATGCCGTGCGTTCGGCGGTCGGACATGAGTAAGTGTTGGTGGTAAGAAGAGAAGTCGCCACCTGGGGGACTATACGGAGGAAATGACAGACCGCCCTGCTTTCTAGTTTCCGATTCCTTTCGGCAGTGGTTTTGACACTGGCACGTTTTGCGCTCGCGTCCGATTCCTTCGGGCAGGTAATTTTGTTGTTTCCCCTTTTTAGTCCAGATTCTAATATTGTTAGTTGTTTTAAAGGATATCCGAATTTAAAACTTCGCGCCCATAACGAGCAGGTCGGGACCAAAAATATATTCCCCTCTCGAATGACAAGCCATTTGGGAGGCATCAACCCTAAACACCATGAGGCAAGGGTTGATGCCTCCCAAATGGCTTGCCATCCGATAGGGGTTATTTTTCCCATTGGCAACTAACTAGGTAAGTGTCAGAATGTTATCTTTGTTCTCTAGCCTGCAGTGGGGTACTCTATAGCGAGTACAACCCCTTAGGGTTTCCTATATGTATCATGTTGCTTGCTAGTGCAACCCCTCTTTTCCCTAAACTATTCTTGCCCAACTAGGGCTTTCCTAGCCATGGCTCCTACCTCCTAACTACCTATTTTCACATGGTGATCAGAGCAGTAAGCTCCTGGCCTGTGAGCCCCACCACGCTCCTTCCGCTGCAACTTCCACTGCTACTCTCTGTGCCGCACGCCCCGTGGCGTGCGGCAGTTTTTCTTCCCGCCGTGTGCCCCGAGGCGCGCGGCGGTTTTCTGCCCGCCGTGCGCCCCGTGGCGCGCGGCGGTTCTCTGCCCGCTGTGCGCCCCGAGGCGCGCGGCGGGCTTCTGCCCCGTCCCTCGGCGCGTCGCCCTCGGGAGGCGCTGCGACGGGCGACGGGGACCTCCGCGTCGCCCCCCGTCGCCCGTCGTGGCCTGCGTGCGGCCCGTACAGGCTGCGCGCGGCCCGTAAGGGCTGCGCCAGGCCCGGACGCGGCCCGTATGGGCTGCGCCAGGCCAGCGCGTGGCCCGTACGGGCTGCGCCAGGCCCGCGCGTGGCCCGTACGGGCTGCGCCAGGCCCGCGCGCGGCTTGGGCCGCCTGCGCGCGGTTCGGGCGGCTGTGCCAGGCCCGTGGGCGGCCCTTTCCTCGCTGCCCCTGCCCTCCCCGCTCTCCCCCGTGCTTCTACAGGCGCCCCACCCCTCCTACAGCCCGTTCTCCTGAATTAGGGTTTGGGGGTGAGGGGTATGGGGGTGAAGCCACTGTGTGCTGTTCCCTGCTGCTCCTCCTCCTCCGTCTCCCTGTGCTGCAGCTGCCGCTGAGGGGGGGTGGACTAGTTGGAGCCGTTGGAGTGGTACTAAGGGGGGGTGAAGGGGGAGTGGAGCTAGCGGTGTAGCAGCGGGTGTGTGTCAGGGGGAGTGGGATAGTTTGGGGAGGTTGAAGGGGGTGGCCGCCGTGAAGCCAGCAGCTCCAGTCGCCCGTGAGACCGTTGTGCTAGTCGCCCGTGAGCCCGTTGCGCCAGTCGCCCGTGAGCCCGTTGCTCCAGTCGCCCGTGAGTCCGTTGCTCGTCTGCCGCTACTTTTAGCCGCGGAGCCAGTTACTCCAGTAGCCCGTGTGCCAGTTGCTCCAGTTGCCAGTGTGCCAGTTGCTCCAGTTGCCCGTGTGCCAGTTGCTCCAGTTGCGCTGTGTGCCAGCAGCTTCAGCTGCTGCCCATTACCTCCTCTCCTCTCATAGTCTCTTTCCTCCTCCTCACTTGCCCGTTGTGACTACCACTAGCCTTGCTCATAATTGTGAAGTTTAAACTATTTCTTCTTGAACTTGTGCTCAGAATGTGTGGTGACATTGTGATCCACCCTGAGCTTGTTCTGTTTTGCTTGCTCTGCTGATTACACCCCACTTTGGCTATGGGGGTGTGTCAGAATGTTATCTTTGTTCTCTAGCCTGCAGTGGGGTACTCTATAGCGAGTACAACCCCTTAGGGTTTCCTATATGTATCCTGTTGCTTGCTAGTGCAACCCCTCTTTTCCCTAAACTATTCTTGCCCAACTAGGGCTTTCCTAGCCATGGCACCTACCTCCTAACTACCTATTTTCACAGTAAGTTCATAATTTCCCAGGCCACAGGGGTTGTTGAAAATGCCGAAAACCCCAAGGAATTAAACGAGGGGGCTATATCAGAATGTTATGTTTGTCTAGCCTGCAGTGGGCACCAAATGGTGAGTACAGCCCAACTTAGGGTTTCCTATATGTACTCAACTGCTTGCTAGTGAACTCCTCTCTTCTTCATTCCTCAATTCTTCACATGCTATCAGAGCATCTACGCTCCTGGCCTGTGGTCCCACCTAACTGCTTCCGCTGCTACTCTGTGTTCGGCACGCCCTGTCAGAATTTATATATGTAACTGCCTGTAGCTGTAGTTAGTGTAGTTATTATAAACTTTGTTAGGTGGTGCACCTTCTTTGTTCACATGCTATATGTTCTTGCAAACCTATAGTGAACAAACCCATTTCCAACTTTCTCGATACCCTTGCCTTGGCACAACTCACTCGATCTCCTTGGCCTAGGCTACTAAGCCTAGGCCATCCTAAACTCTCAACTACCTATTAAGCTCGATATTATGACATGGATTCAGAGTGTGTTTCGTCCTGGCCTGTGGGCCCGCCTTATGCTTCCGCTGCTATTTTTCCGGTCGCGCGCCTAGGGCGCGTGGCGATTTTCGTCTTGTCCCGCCCCCGGGTGGCGAGTGACACCTTCTCTGCCCGTCGCGCGCCCCGTGGCACGCGACGGTGCCCTAAACTTGCCCGTCGTGCGCCCCGTGGCACGCGACGGTGCCCTGCTCGTCGTGCGCCCCGAGGCACACGACGGTGCCCTAAACTTGAACTTGCCCGTCGTGCGCCCCGTGGCACGCGACGGTGCTCTCCTCGTCGTGCGCCCCGTGGCATGCGCGACGGTGCCCTTGAGCCGCCGCAAAACCGCCCCTGGCGCCTGCGACGGTGTCCTGAACCGCCCAGTACCCGCCCCTGGCGCACTCGGCGGTGCCTGTGCTTCACCCCGCGCCTGCACTCCCTGCAGCCGCCCCTGACCTACCTGCGCCGACCCTATGTAGCCGCTCTGCGGCTTTCTTCCCGCCCACCCCCTCCTCCTTCGTCTCCCTGCAGCCGTGGGGGGGAGGGTATGGGGGTGGCGGGTGTTGGAGTGTTGGGTAGTGTGCTCCCCTTCCCCTCCTCCTCCTTTCGTTCCCACTGCTGCAGCTGCCACTGGGGGGGGGGGTGTGAGGGTGTGGGGGAGCTGGGGGAGTGGCACTGGGGTGGCGGGTGTGAGACCATCCAGCAGCCGTCCCTCCACCTCTCCTCTCTTCCCCCCTCTGCTGCTCCTGCAGCAGTGTGGGGGGGAGGGGGAGGGGGAGGGGGAGGGTGAGGAGATGGATGGGGTGACCAGCCAGAGCCAGCCCGCCTCCTCACTCTCCCTGCTGCCCCTCCTGTGGTTGGGGGGGAGAGGGTAAGGGGGTGGCAGGAATTGCTTGCTGTACCTTTGCTGCTGTACCTACTCTGTTACCGTACCTGCTGTTGCTGTTGCTTGTGTACCCCTGCAGGTTGTGTTCTGCACAAACTCCTGCTGCAGGCAGTTATGGGGGAGTGTCAGAATTTATATATGTAACTGCTTGTAGCTGTAGTTAGTGTAGTTATTATAAACTTTGTTAGGTGGTGCACCTTCTTTGTTCACATGCTATATGTTCTTGCAAACCTATAGTGAACACACCCATTTCCAACTTTCTCGATACCCTTGCCTTGGCACAACTCACTCGATCTCCTTGGCCTAGGCTACTAAGCCTAGGCCGTCCTAAACTCTCAAGTACCTATTAAGCTCGATATTTTGACACGCCCCGTGGCGTGCCCCTCGCGCTACTCTTAGCGGCCCCGTTGCCGCCCTTCCAGGCCCCTCGCGGCCCCTTCGCGGCCCCGTTGCCGCCCTTCCAGGCCCCGTCGCCGCCCTTTTCGCGGCCCGTCGCCGCCCTTCCAGGCCCCTCGCGGCCCCTTCGCGGCCCCGTCGCCGCCCCTATCGGCCCCGTCGACGCCGCCAGCGGCCCCGTCGCCGACCCTAGCGGCCCCGTCGCCGCTCCTATCGGCCCCGTCGCCGCCGCCAGCGGCCCCGTCGCCGCCGCGAGCGGCTCCGTCGCCGACCCTAGCGGCCCCGTCGCCGCTCCTATCGGCCCCGTCATCGCCGCCAGCGGCCCCGTCGTCGCCGCCAGCGGCCCCGTCGCCGCCTCCAGCGGCCCCGTCGCCGCCACTTGCGGCCCCGGCCCCGCCCCGGCCATGCCCCGTCGCCAGCCGCGGCGCACCGGGGGCACGTGCACCGCCCCCCCCCCCCCCCCCCCCCCCCCCCCTTTTCCCGTCGCTCGTCGCGGCTCCTTCGGGGGCCGCGCGACCTGGGGGAGGGGGGCGAGCATCGCCCCTTCTGCCGCCTGTTTTGGCGCCCTGGGAGACCGCGCGTCGCCCCCCCCCCCCCCCCCCCCCCTAACCTCCCTACCCGCCGTCCCGCCCTGCCCTGTGTTAGGGTCTAGGGGTGGCGACTAGAGGGTGACGGGTGTGTGGTCTCCCCTGCTCCTCCTCCTCCTTCGTCTCCCACTGCTGCAGCTGTCGCTGAGGGGGGTGGATGTGTGGGAGCCTGGGGTTTAGGGTTTAAGGGGGGTGCTGTGGGAGTGGAGCTAGGGTTTTGAGGGAGGTGGATGTGTGTGAGCCTACGGTTTAGGGTGTAAGGGGGGTGCTATGGGTGTGGAGCTAGGGTTTGAGCAGGGGGTGTGTGTCGAGAGGTGTGGGGCAGCTGGAGGAGGTTGGTTGAACGGAGGTTGTCGTCGTGTCGTCAGCAGCACCAGTAGTCCTGGGCGCTGCTCCGGTAGCCCAGTCGTAGCCAGCTGTGCCAGTCACCCGTGGGTCCGTTGCTCGTCTGCCGCTAGTCTTAGCCGCGGAGCCAGTTACTCCAGTAGTCCGGAGCGCTGTTCCGGTAGCCGCTGTG